GGGGTGGGGTGGGGTGGGGGACTCGGGCGGGGGCGGGAGAAAACGCTAAGAAAATGGCAGAATAGCCGCGAGGGACAAGTAAGGATGGAATCAAATCTGGAGGACCAACACAGTCTCAAGAAAAAAACAACAAACAACGAAAAACTGGGGTAATGAAAGCCTTTAGGAAAAAGTACTAAGGAAAATTTGAAATTACCAATACGTTATAATTATAGTGTTTCCATTCCTGACAGCTGCCCCGGCCACAGAGCGGCTGATAACTGCTTTAAGTTGAACGGATCGAACTGGTTGTCCTGTACCCCACAGTGAACAGGTAGCCTAGTTGATGGGCGCCTGAACTTTAGTGTGCCTTTTTTTAAAAGTTTCAATTTCAGTTTTACGACACTTCATGTAAGTGCTGAAAATTAGTTGTGTTACTATAGGATAAGATACAAAGAAAATAAGGAGGATGGTGCAGATAAGGAAGATACAAGTTTGATGAATGGTGTTAGTATGAATGCGGTTTTTTAAAAAATTTCCTAAGTACGCTTTGGGCCCATGCTGTGGGGAAAGGTGGGATACAAATGCTCTTATTATTATGAATAAAAAAAGAGGGAGACCACTCCACAGCGCCCACTAACCACCCACTGTCCGTCCTGTAACTTCTTATTTCTTATCGCAGTCACTATTATCCGTTGTCGTGATGGCGGGGGCTGTGGGCTAATCTAACTCAACCTCTATTCTTGTAGTAACTTATATATCACTGAGACAGTCACCACCCAACCCCAGGTTCTGGATAGAAACACGCCGAAAGGAAAGTGAAGGCGGGCGTCTTTTTTATTACACGAAGCAGCGCTCTCTCTCTCTCTCTCTCTCTCTCTCTCTCTCTCTCACACACACACACACACACACACACACACACACACACACACACATTCTCTGTCTGTCTGTGTCTGTCTCTCTCAGTCTGTGTGTGTCTCTCTCTCTCTGTCTTTATCTCTATCGCTCGCCTGTTTCTCCCCCGACCCCTAACCTCCTCACTCACACTTACATAGACAACAATGTTTAAGTTGCGTCCATAGACCCGGCTATGCAAATTTTCTTCACAGTAGCAATACATTACGCATATAATTATCAGCTACAACTCCCTAGATCATTAACCCCGCTGGTTCTTTGAAAGCCCTTCTTGTACACCTGTGTTTATACAAGCCATTTTCAACAGTTGAAGATACACAACTACACTTCGCCTCCCCGCTGCGCATTGAACGGAGGTCTGAACTCTTCTGAACTCAGAACTGAGCACAATGTAAGGGAAAAACCACCTATCATCACTTCTCTGTTTGGCCACTTCACGTGTTATTTTAACCCATTTAGGATTCCTATTTTTAGGCAGAACTCACTGCTTGACTTAACAGAAATACACCCAAACCTGATAGTTCTTTGAATTGACCTGCCTTGGCCTCTTCGCTGCTGTGTAGAGGTATGTAATGATAATAATTGCATTTATATAATCTATAATCTAGCTCTACACCATGCTCTATGCGCTTTACAACGTAAGTATTCACTTGTGTGCTCCAAAACTCGTTCACTGTATTTTTTAATGTACAGACCTCATAGAGGAAGTAGTTACTTATTCGTTAACTTGGGGAAAGGTATTATGTTTTTTTTCTAAACCTTCCCTGAATAAACAAGTAATATCGTCTATACAACATACATGGCAACGTCTTAGAAGTAAGGCTTTAAATTTGATAGAGCTGGCAGTCCCAACAGCGCAAATGGAGAAAAATGCAACCGTACCAATTCAGCTTATCCTATTCTTTCACTTCTCTTTATTCCATTCCTCCTCACCTTCTCCTGTTTCTTCTTCTTCTTCCTCTTCGTCTTCTTCTTCTTCTTCCTCTTCGTCTTCTTTTTCTTCTTGAGTGTCTGCAGCTATTGAAGTTTCTCAAGCCACACCGCAGTGAGCTTTACACGGCATACGCCCCTCGTTTTAAACAAAATCACAAGGCAATGTCGACTTTCCAGCGCAGCAGCAACCATAACACTACTTTCATTACAAAACCCTTTTCGGAGACAGCATTTCTTCACCCTACTTATTATGAACTTCAGGCAAACTTCCAAGCAGCGCTGAACTCCTTGAATTAATTCTGAACTGCATTCCTTTTCATTCAACCCCTCTCCACTACTGTCTACTTCGTATTTGATTAGTCGGTTGGCACATCTGTACCTGGATCATGACCCAGGCGAACAAGCAGAGACA